GATGATACAAAAATAGTGACATGTATTATCTGTGTCGGGATCTGTTATTATTCGATATAAGTTGGTACAAAAATAGTGGCGTGTATTATTCTGTTGTCGGGATCTGTTATTATTCGATATAGGATTGGTACAAAATAGTGGCATGTATTATTCTGTTGTCGGGATCTGTTATTATTCGATATACGATTGGTACAAAATAGTGGCATGTATTATTCTGTTGTCGGGATCTGTTATTATTCGATATAGGATTGGTACAAAATAGTGGCTTGTATTATTCTGTTGTCGGGATCTGTTATTATTCGATATAGGATTGGTACAAAATAGTGGCATGTATTATTATTCTGTTGTCGGGATCTGTTATTATTCGATATAGGATTGGTACAAAATAGTGGCATGTATTATTCTGTTGTCGGTATCTGTTATTATTCGATATAGGATTGGTACAAAATAGTGGCATGTATTATTCTGTTGTCGGGATCTGTTATTATTTGATATAGGATTGGTACAAAAATAGTGGCATGTATTATTCTGTTGTCGGGATCTGTTATTATTCGATATAGGATTGGTACAAAATAGTGGCATGTATTATTCTGTTGTCGAGATCTGTTATTATTCGATATAGGATTGGTACAAAAATAGTGGCATGTATCACCGATGTATTATTCTCATCAGGATCTGTTATTAATCAATATACGAAAGGTGCCAACATAGGAGTGTGCATTCTTGTGTTGTCACATGACCCCCCAACAATTCATAATTTCCTCTCTTAATGTACTGTTTGTTCATTGCATTATTAGATTCCCGGGGAATTATTCGAAATTTTGCATAGTGAAGCCATACCTACCTTGCCAAAACAAATGTATTATATGTATGTTCAATGAGTACAAACTATACCCTAGTGGTGGGTGAACTGCGGGAGTTCAAGCCCATTAGTAACCCTCAAGTAAATCCCAAAATGGGGAAAGGGGTGCAGCTAAATAATTATCTATTCAAAATTACAGGCACATATATGAACATATAAACTGAAACACAAGATTGTAATATGCAACACGGTATTGCGCGTTGTGTTGGCCACACAGTTTCTAACCCCTGCCAGGTGGGCTTCCGTTCTATTTCCCACTCTTTATCTCCTCCACCAGCTGGCTAGTTTGCGGGATTTGTCCACCCATGTTTTGTGATATATGCTAATACAGTTGTGTTGTCGCAATTGAGGGGAACTGTTCTATTCTATACTTTATCTAGAAATCAATCTAGTGCCCTCCCAACCTATTAAGTATGTTTATGTGGAACTATGCTGTGCTACTCCTCATTCTATTTTCAAGGCGTCCATGACCAGTGTTATAGCCGGAGTTGATGGAGCAATCTGTTATATCCGTCTTATGTTGGTTAAGTCCATCCACTCGAGGGCAGTCAAGCTTTGTGAGGTCCATGATATTTCTCATGTAGCGACCCACACAACTGGAGTGTGTGTACCTGGACGAGCATACCCTTGAGAGCTGTTTGAGGCACAAGGCCTCTCATAGATGAAGCCATTTCCACAAAGCTCATTAATTGTCTGAGCTGTGCAGATGTGCTTGCATGCAAAAAGTGTGGCTGCCGGGTCTCTCAACCTGAAACACTCCCAGAATACAATCCCGGAAATACTAAAGGTGGGATATGATTGTTTGAAGGATGTGTGCTAAAATAACTGATCTTGCATCAACCAGATATTGATAGAATGGATTCACATTGTTGGCCTGCTGTGCAGCCACAAAACTGGCACTGCCATTAATTTTGGAAAAAAACCTGTGAGGCTACAATGGGCAAACATCTTGAATCAACTGTATGAGATTGAGGGAAATCCCCTGATGTACACAACAGTGTACCTCTGCTGGGGTCATAATCATGAAATGCTCTTAGAGAATATACTGATTCAGTTGTCTTGGATCTATATTGTTCACCAAAAATATGGGAGAATAACACAGAAAAGTCAAGCACTGCTGCCATTTGCAAATCATTCTATCACTTCCTGGAAAATCATGTCTACCATTACACTTGGCAGAGCCATTGACCCTGGTGATGTAGTCAACTGAAGCTTTCTGGCTAACTTGATCTTGTAGCTGTGCTTGACTACTGAAAGGTCCCACAGGGTCATTGTGATAGTTAGCCAGTTTGCTACTATAACCGAACAATTTAATGCCACAGGAAGTAAGGGTTGGGAAACAAAATGAATCCTTTAATTCATACCACTGAAAACACATGACCCCAACCACATCCACCTCAATGATCATTTCCTTGGTTGCTATGATTGTTCCTGCATTCCCCTCGACCAGACTGTCATTATTGGGCATTCTGACCCTATGAATGCAGTGTTCTCCCCAGGGGGTTTTAGCGTATCGGTCCTGATACGCTATAATGTATGCCGATACGCTATCATCCTGGCCGATATCCTATCCCATACGCTATTGTGGACAGCCCAATCTTTTGTTTCACTATTGTTCAACGCCCACGCCTCGAAAACAAAGGTACTTTTAGCGGTGATAGACACCTTAGCGATCGACTGCAGTAGGCACTCAGGAAGTCGGCAATGTTAAAAAGACAACTAAAGTGTGACACCGCTCACGGTCTCACACCTCTTGTCACCAACAAAAGAGAGTCCACTAGACACTCAGTGGACACTTAGTAAGCGATAATGCTTTTTCCAATACGTCGCGACACTTCTACCATATAAAAGTCCATCAAAATCACGTTGAAATTCATTGCTGATCCTGATTACAACACGTAACCATGTCTCTTCGAAACATCCCAGTCAAAAAGAATTTGCTGTCGTGGTTTAGACCCGACCAACCCAATACAACGCCGATCACGTCTGATGTACCCCCCCCCCCGTCGTCTGCGTATTGTCTAGCGAGCGGGAAGTTCACGTACCTTCACCGTCTAGAAAGAGACCTGCCACGGACCCGTTAAAATCGAAAGATTCGAAGAAAAGAAAGGCCGGATTTGACCCACGATGGAAAGAAGCCAACCCATGGTTGAAAGTAACGTCAGATGGAAAGGGTAAGTACTTGTTTTTAATCTTATTCACGCCAAAATCCCGTACCAAAATACTCCACATCAATTTAGTGACTTGCTTAAGTGGTCTTGTATAAGGCAGCCCTGGCTCGCGAACCTCACTCCACAGGAATTCCGTTCAGATGTATAGAAACAATGATTCCGGTGTTCGAAGATGGGCGATTTTCACTTTCTGCATTATTATTTGTTGAAAAAAGTTTAGAAAGACTTTATGCACAGAATACTTGCATGTGATCCACGATTTTAGCGACATGCGCATTTGAATCGTGACCTCGACCGCCATGTTTGTTTTGATAAAATTTGAGGACGGATGACGATCGTTTGTGTAACCGGCATTACTCTCGTTTCTGACACATTTCTGTCCTGTTTTTTTTTACTTAATATAGGCATGCTGTGTGATTATTGTGGTAAATTTAATTTATCATCGGATAAAGGTTCAAGAGTATGGAATTCCGTACCATGTACAAACATAACAAAGCAAGGAGTTGACAAACACTCGAAGTCCGAGATGCACAAGAGAGCGATATCAATTTTCCAAGAATTGAAGGAAAACAGAGTCGTCGATGCGTTTGTCACACAGCAGAACTACAATCGCCAAGCCGTTGAAACTGCATTCCGAGCTGGTTGGCAAAGAATGAGGTGGCCCATACTACGAAATATAAATCACTACTGGAATTGATGCAACTATCTGGCTGTTCGTTTCTCTCTCATCTTAATCAGGTATTTATAATTTTCATTGTATTTTGTTTTGCAACTTTTAGCAAAATTTCTAAAATAAAAACACCATGCATGTGATTTATTTATTTGGGGTTTTAGAAAATTATGATTTATTTTGTATGGTTTGCGAACCATTGAACTACAAGGGGTTTGTAGTTCCATATACAAACTTACCTTAGTATTTTGATTAAATGTGTACTTTTTTAAAATAATTATATAAACATTTTTGGTATTTTTTTTAGGGTAACAATGCCAATTATCACTCTGAGCGAATGTTACAAGAAATATTAGCAACTATTGCTGGTGATATTAGTGATGTCATATTCTTAGAAATACAGAGAAGTCCAGTGTTCAGCATCATGATGGATGACTACTGACATTGCCATTATGAATCAGCTAATATCAGACATAAAATATATCAAGTTCACTGGAGAAACATGTGAAGTAAGTAGACTGTTTCAATCCTGCCAACCAATTTTTGAATTTGTTTTCAAATCTGTTTGTTCTTTCTATTAGTTTGCTACATTGAATATTTTCTTTTCTCTTCATTATCAGGTAAAAACTGCCTTTGTTAATATGTATGATCTTGCTGATGGAACAGCTGTCTCAATTACCAAGAGCACTGAAGATTTATTTGAGAAAAAGTCCATATCTTTCAATAGCTGTGCAGGATTGGGATCTGATGGAGCTGCTGTAATGGTGGGGAAAAGAAATGGGGTGCGTAAATGTATTTTTGTTTGTCATCAGAACTAACCATTGTCAGATTACTAAAATTTTTAAATCAGAGCTCTTAAACATGATTGGTAATTCTTTTACTTATAGGTGGCAGCCAAGTTGAGAGAAAAAAACCCAGCAATGATCAACATGCATTGTATTGCACACAGACTGGCCTGGCATCTTCACAAGCAGTCAATAATATTCCATATTTAAAGAAGTTTAGCAGCATACTGCAGCAGTTGTTTATCACAACTCACCTGTGAGAATGGCTGGACTACATGAAATTCAGGCAAGTGCACATTCCATTATCAATTATTGCTCTATACAACATAGTATGTGTCTATAGTCATTCAATTATATTTAATATTAATTTTATTTATTTTTGTATCTTTTACAGAAAATACTTGGAGATCCTCAGCTAAAACTGAAGGAAGCCAAAGAAGTGCGATGGCTATCACATCAATGTGCAGTGTCAACCTTGAAGAGATGTTTACCAGCAGTTTTCATGAGTTTGGAAAGAGAGGGGTCAGAGCGACATGATGCTACAGCAGCCGGCTTGGCATCTTTCTTGAAGGAATACAAGTTTGTAGCCACTCTGTATATGCTGTGTGATATATTGCCTCACCTGACCAGATTATCACTACTCTTTCAGGTAAGTGTTTTATTTCCTCTGTAAACCAACAAAGTCTTTCTTGGTGGCTATTCTCACTTGCCCAATTGCAATGAACAATTTAGAATTAATATAACAAGTTTCCTCTCTTATTTATTTCAGCGTGGGAATGTTGTCCTTTCATTGATTGACCCTGTTGTATCAAGTACAATAACAACAATCAGGCATTTGGCATATCATGAAGGTGACAATATTAAACATCTTGATGCAAATGGATATGACGAAGCATTATTAGAGCATATTACTCTACCTACTGAAGTTGCAAAGACAGAATTCAAAACCCAGGTAAGTGTAAACATGATCTTGCACACTCCCATGTTTTTAGTCTGTTGTAATTACTAAAACTTAAATTACAGTTTTTCTTTCATTCTTTTTTCTAGATATACTATAAATATATAGACAGTGTGACATTAAATCTTGAGGAAAGATTCCCAGATATAAAGTTAGTTAGCAGTTTCACAGTGTTTGATCCCAGTTTCATCACAACTAGTCATGAGGATGTTATGGAAGATGCCGGTCAGAAAGAGAAACTGGAGGTTAGTATAAATATATTTCATTATCATTGTTGACAGTTGTAGATATTTGGTGTTGCAAAACTGGTGATATGTTTCAAAGTGCTTAATTTGTTTAAATACATTTTATTTTTATAGATACTGTGTGAACATTATTCTCTTGATGAAGAAGTGGTTTTCTCTGAGTGGGATTTATTCAAAGAAACAATGATGAGGAATAAGAACAAGCCATATCATGACATCCTCAAGATGCTCACTTCAGTCTACAAGGAATTGTTTCCCAACTTAAGCAAGATGGCAGCTGTTGCAATGGTTCTCCCAGTATCAACTGTAGGTAAGTATCAACTGTATACTTATTACACTCAACCAACCAGTTACATAATAGCTTCCTGGATCAGGCTGCATGAACTATTTATAACATGTTTCTTTCTTCCTAATTTCAGATTGTGAAAGAGGTTTCTCCACAATGGCACGAGTGAAGACAGAATCCAGAAACAGGTTATCAGAAAAGGTTTTGAACTGGCTGATGATGATCAAGGTAGAGGGTCCACCTATTTCTCAGTTCAACTTCACCAAAGTTGTAGAGAAATGGGCCAATGTGAAGACCAGACGAATCTCAATTATTTAGGATCAGACAGTTTGACTGATCAATTCTATAATTGTAGTGCTATATGTCTGCAGCTTATACACTACCTGTAAATATTTCTGCAGTGGTAAAGAATAAACGCTTTTTATTTGAATTTTTGCATGGTGTGTTTTGTTATATACTCTGTAATCACCAACAATTTGCTAACTTATGCAAATTTATTCATCTTATTGTTATGCTAATTTATGCAAATTAGCCGATATCCTATGAAAAATTTCTGGGCAGAACACTGGAATGAGATTACTGTTCGTGTGTATCTGTCTTTAGTTTACCATATTTAGAACACATATTATATTAGTGCATCTATGCCTAGCATCATTGGTTCTGGCAGTATGGTTGACTGCTGCATCTGTTGAGGCCCTCTTAATGGCAAGCTACTTAGGCAGCACTGGTCCAAACTAGTTCCTTATATTTGGTCCCATTGAATCAAAATAGTTTTGCATGCCCCTGTTCAGTGAATATCTCCATAAATACAACATTCTGGGTGATCAGCAAATTCTTGTATTGTCCATTGGGTGCCGGCTTAAAGCCAGAAACTGCAGCAGCACTTGGTAAATCAGAAAAATATAATGCAACTAATGTGGAAATTAAAATTTCTTTAACACCGTGCCCAAGGTTAGACATTCTTCCTTGCAAAAGAATGGTACATCTGGGCCCATCAACAGTACTGCATCACATGGTACAGGGTCTCCTTTACAATCTGGTTTGTCACCAGAAATACAGTACTGATGTTCCCACTTGTAATCTAATGGTGCTTTGACATGGTGTGGAATTTGCAACCCTATCTAATATCCCTGCCCTCTGCTTGACGAATGAATCAACAGCAGGTGGCAGTGGTATAACAGTGGATCTACACTGAGGTTATTGTACCACCTCAGTCACCTCATATACTTATCTATCCCAAGAATATTTCTATTTGGGCTACATTTTTTGAGTAGACTTGACACATCAGAAAATATAGAACTAAACTAAAGGGCACTGGACCCCACACAGATCTATTTTATTGTCATATTGGATGATCCCATGTTTATACTAAGTTTGAAACAATCCCATACACACGACCAAGATCTGGCTTCAGAACGATAGAAATATCTAATTGTTTTTCCAGCACAATGTATATACCTGTATATACATATTGATATATACCGGTATATCACAAGATGTATGATGTACAAACTATATTATTTGCCAAATTAAAGAATCCAACACTGCAATTTCTAATATTATAGAACTTCCCATAGTACTGAGCAATTTAATATATAGCATGCTTGACAATAAACAATGCACCATCTTACTTATCATCTCACTCATTTGAGTTCAAATATTATAATTGTTGACAATATCCATAATGCTGACATGATCACATGCTTTACTACAGAGTGACCAACACTGACAAGGGCACAGAAGAGAAACGTTATTTCTAGATTAAGTATAAATTTATAATCACAATATAATTCTTGTTGTTATACTGAATTGTACCATTGTAATACAGTTTTATAATATTTTTGTTATTATCATTATAACAAAATACACCATAGAGTCACGAAATAATCAGAAAACTGAAAAAGTGGTAATACAATTACTAACAAGTCATTGTCAATGACACGTCCCCGTTCCGTTCATATTTGAGTGACATATACATTCAAAGCAGATCATGACCGAAATCTCAGACCACTTTCACCTGCATATGTACAACACATTGTACTAAATCTGAACAAAATCCATCCATGCATAACTGAGATCCGGGTCCGGAATGGTGAAAATGCATTTTCGGCCTTAAAGCGGCCGCCGTTTGGCTATCGTTAATGAGATCATGAAACAAATGCACATACATATTTATGACATGATGTACCTTGTGTGTGTGAAGTTTGATCAATCCAGGCATGTCTCAGATACGGATCCAGAACTGAATTCTTCAAAACAAACTGGCCGCCAGTCGGCCATTTCAAACCCGATCCAAAAAAATAAATGACGTGTATCAAGGTCCTATTATGTTTAATGTATGTACCAAATTTGAACAAAATCCGTCCATGCATAACAGAGATCCGGGTCCGGAATGGTAAAAATGTGCGATTTTGATGCATTTCGGCCTTAAAATGACTACTATTCGGCTATCGGATCATGAAAAATATACATGTGCACATGTCCCATATAATGTGTGATGTATGAGTGAAGTTTGAACTTAATCGGTCAATGCATGTTCGAGATACAGGTGATCACGGACGCACGCACGGATGCACGGACGCACACAGGGCAAAACATAAGTCCCCGTTTTCGGACTACATCCGAACGGGGACTAAAAAGTCATAAATCATTGTTACGGGTACTGAAGCCATTGATACCATATACTTTCATTTCTCTGTATAGTATTTCTAAGTTTCCTACAATAATAAAAAAAAAATTGTTAAAATATCTATCAAAATACAAAGCTAGTATGTTATGCTAATTTATCCCAGTACAGGGCTTGAGGGTTATCGGTAACAAGTCTTCCATTAGTAGTTAGTGTAGTGAGTCAGGTCAGGGAATTAATAATAATACCAGTAATACCCAGTCCTAATTATAGATAAAAAATGACTCATTGGTCATTAGTGCAGTGAGTCAGGTCAGGTTCTCTGGGATTAATAAAACCCAGTCCTCATTAACAAATGTCTGAACAGAGCCTCAGGGATTAATAATACTCAGTATTAGTATAAGTAACAGAAGTTTGATTTGTACATGAAGTTAGTGCAGTGAGTCAGGTCAGGTTCCCTGGGTATAGTAATGCCCAGTCCTTGATATAGGTAACAAAAGTCCCATTGCTAGTTAGTGCAGCGAGTCAGGTTAGGTTCACTGGGATTAATAATACCCAGTCCTGGTTAGAGATAACAAATGACCCATTGGTAGTTAGTGCACTGAGTCAAGTCAAGTCCTCTGGAACTAATATACCCAGTCCTAGTTATAGGTAACATGTGTCCCATTAGTCATCAGTGCAATGATTCTGGCAAGGGTCTCAGGATTAATACATGTAAAACCCAGTTCTAGTTATAAACAACAAATGTCTCATTGTTTATTAGTGCAGTGATTCATGTCAGGGCCTCAAGATTAATAAAATCCAGTCCAAGTTCAGTGTTCTCCCCAGACCCCATGTCAAGCGTCAAGCATTGTGGGTAATTTGCATAACACTTTCAAATTTGCATAATTTTCCATTGAACACTGTGATACAATAACTGTGTTAGTATAAAATTAGTTAACAATCTATCTACAATTAATTAAAGACGAGACAGTCTGATATTTTATATCATTTTACTCCATTGTATTTTATGTATTTATCAAGTCAAATAAAGTTTGAAATAGAACCACAATACAAGCAGTCTGTTAGCAAGGCACATTTCAATTAAAGAACTGAGGATATCATATAAGAAAATGAACAATCGGACTTGCTGTTTAAACAAGAATTCAAAAATATCATTTTTTACTAAAAATTACAAAAATATTCATCAAATTAGATAATTGAAGATATCATCATGAAATGAACAAATCTGAGGGAGGTTTACCTGAGGTACCTATATGTATAGTATCAAAGCAATCAGACTTGCGGTTTTTAACAAGAAGTTAAAAATATCACTTTTTACCAAAAATCACAAAAATATTCACTAAACTTAGAGAATTTAAGATATCATCATGAAATGAACAAATCTGAGAGAGATCCACATGTAGTACCTATATATGTAATATCAAAGCAATCGGACTAGCGGTTTTTAACAAGAAGTCGAAAATATCACTTTTTACCAAAAATGACAAAAATATACCACCAAAATTAGAGAATGAAAGATATCATCACGAACTGAACAAATCTGAGAGAGGTCCACATGTAGCACCTACATATGTATATATGTAATATCAAAGCAATTGGACTTGCGGTTTTTAACAAGAAGAAGAAAATATCACTTTTTACCAAAAATGACAAAAATATTCACCAAAAATAGAAAATCGGAGGTTTTGACACTATGTTATGCACCATTCCACCACTAATGCCTAGCTGTGCCGACTTTGTCGACAGCGGAGCAAAAAAACAATGGAAATAGTTAATAGTCAGTCAGTAAATATATTGTTATCCATGGAGATAACTGCTTATCATTATTCTGTGTACAACAAGTACAGTCAGTTTTAGTGCCCATGTCACTGTCAGTTCATGTGACGTTAGGGGAACATTTTTTGTTGTTGTGAGATTGCGAGTTGTCAAAATAGAATGAAAATAATATATTAATACTGACAAAATTTCAAACTAAAGTCAACGATTTTTCATTGATCAATACCTTATGTGTACCGTTACGATCACCCTAACCTTGTCAGTTGAACCGTAACGTTCTTGCATTGAACAAATTTAGAATGTTTTGTTAATTAAAATCAGGTTTTTTTCTTGAAAAAAATTGCAAAAGGGAGCACTGCAATTCAGCGGCACCACCAAGTGGGGGAGATGGGGTTCTCCCTATCAGGGTGTGGAGTTTTTGATAATTCTAAGTTAAAATGGAGCATTCTATGGCTTCCTTATGGCCAAAATTACTGTCAGACAGATCAAAGTTGAAGACTGTAGCCACTTGTGATCCCTTGTCATTCAGAATTTTGTGGTTGCCAGAAAATCTGCTCCCTAGGGTAAGGGGCACATGGCCATGGCATGAGGGCGATGCGCCCCTGTTTCTTGTTTAAAACAATCCCTGAAAATGATTCATTGGCGATTATCTTAGAACCACTAATAAACAGACTGGCAACCCGGGTATTTATTTCGATCTAACGTGTGTCTCAGGTTAATGTTTTAATCTTATAAAGAACTGGGGTTGATAATAAAAAATGTCCACAAAGTCATGCGATAACATACGACTTTGTGAGCAACTATGGTGTTTCAACAGGAAGTGATGTAAAAGGTCAGACCGAAGTTTCATATTATATCTTACATGTTGCCCTGATGTATCATATTTTCAAGGTTTTTTTAATACATGATCGGC